CTCCACGACGCTGACCAGCGAGCACGATGCCTCTTTGTCGTCTGCCCCTTGCCGCCAGCAGAGGAGTCGGCGTTCTCTGCCAAGGTCGACTTGTTTGACTGCTTTTCCTTGTGCGGCTTCCTTGACGTGGACGACGGCTGGCCGACCTTCCGTGGCCTCCCTTGGCGTCATCGTCGTCGGAATCACTGCGATCGGGGCACTCAAAGGAGAGATGGTCGGGGTCGCCGCACAGCCAGCATTCCCGGCGTCGCCCTCCTCCTCCACGACTGCTGCCCTTCGCCGACTTCCCCTTGTCTGCATCCTTGGCCGGCTTCCCACCTCCACTACCACCGCCGCCAGGCTTGCCGCGCTGCCCCGGTCGGTACCTTGCTTTGCCGGGGCGACGTAGTTTGCCTGCGGTAGGAGCTCCGTGGACTTCTCGGCCTCCTGCATCGCTTCGTACCTGAGAACGTACGAGGTCGGAGAGTCCTCGTTGAGTGTCCTCAGCGTGCTCGGCACCACCGACAGCCGCTTCAGCAGGTTGTAGCTGCTCGGGAGCCCCTTTAGGACGTGCGTGACATACGACACCGTCGAGTACTGCAGGCCGGCCATCCTCAACATGGCAAGAAGTCGCCGAGCTCGGCTGCAGTAGTCGGTCGCCGTCTCCTGGTCGCCCATCCCGCAGGTGAGTCATCTGCTCCTCGAGCTGGCCGATGTACAGGTCGTCGGTGACCTGGTACGTCGACTCGATGAAATGCCACGCCTGGTGGCCGGCGTCCAAGTAGTTGTCAGAATATTATGCTCTAGCCTGTAGTGGGGTGCTCTATAGCGAGTACAACCCTTCTAGGGTTTGCTATTTGTATCCTCATTCTTGCTAGTGCAACTCCTCTTTGCCTAAACTTCTCTTGCCTAGCTAGGGTTCTCCTAGCTATGGCTCCTAACTATCTTTACTATCTTGACATGCTATCAGAGCAGGTCGATCCCTTTGGATCGATCCTGTGGGTGGGCTCACCACCTCGTTGCTTCCGCTGCAACTTCCGCTGCTACTCTATGTGCCGCACGCCCCGCAGTTTTTTTCTTCCCGCCGTGCGCCCCGAGGCGCGCGGCGGTTTTCTGCCCGCCGTGCGCCCCGTGGCGCGCGGCGGTTCTCTGCCCGCTGTGCGCCCCGAGGCGCGCGGCGGGCTTCTGCCCCGTCACTCGACGCGTCGCCCCCGGGAGGCGTTGCGACGGGCGACGGGGACCCGCGCGTCGCCCCCCGTCGCCCGTCGTGGCCTGCGCGCGGCCCGTACAGCCGGCGTGCGGCCCGTACGGGCTGCGCCAGGCCTGCGCGCGGCCCGTACAGGCTGCGCCAGGCCCGCGCGCGGCCCGTACGGGAAGCGCCAGGCCCGCGCGCGGCTCGGGCCGCCTGCGCGCGGTTCGGGCGGCTATGCCAGGCCCGTGGGCGGCCCGTTCCTCGCTGCCCCTGCCCTCCCCACTGTCCCCCGTGCTTCTACTGGCGCCCCACCCCTCCTACAGCCCGTTCTCCTGAATTAGGGTTTGGGGGTGAGGGGTATGGGGGTGAAGCCACTGAGTGCCGTTCCCTGTTCCTCCTCCTCCTCCGTCTCCCTGTGCTGCAGCTGCCGCTGAGGGGGGGTGGACTTGTTGGAGCCGTTGGAGTGGTACTAAGGGGGGGTGAAGGGGGAGTGGAGCTAGCGGTGTAGCAGCGGGTGTGTGTCAGGGGGAGTGGGATAGTTTGGGGAGGTTGAAGGGGGTGGCCGCCGTGAAGCCAGCAGCTCCAGTCGCCCGTGAGACCGTTGCGCCAGTCGCCCGTGAGCCCGTTGCGCCAGTCGCCCGTGAGCCCGTTGCTCCAGTCGCCCGTGAGTCCGTTGCTCGTCTGCCGCTACTTTCAGCCGCGGAGCCAGTTACTCCAGTAGCCCGTGTGCCAGTTGCTCCAGTTGCCAGTGTGCCAGTTGCTCCAGTTGCCCGTGTGCCAGTTGCTCCAGTTGCGCCGTGTGCCAGCAGCTTCAGCTGCCGCCCACTACCTCCTCTCCTCTCATAGTCTCTTTCCTCCTCCTCACTTGCCCGTTGTGACTACCACTAGCTTTGCTCATAATTGTGAACTTTAAACTATTGCTTCTTGAACTTGTGCTCAGAATGTGTGGTGACATTGTGATCCACCCTGAGCTTGTACTGCTTTGCTTGCTCTGCTGATTACACCCCACTTTGGCTATGGGGGTGTGTCAGAATATTATGCTCTAGCCTGTAGTGGGGTGCTCTATAGCGAGTACAACCCTTCTAGGGTTTGCTATTTGTATCCCCATTCTTACTAGTGCAACTCCTCTTTGCCTAAACTTCTCTTGCCTAGCTAGGGTTCTCCTAGCTATGGCTCCTAACTATCTTTACTATCTTGACAGTAGTCTCTGCACGGCTTCAGGGAGATCTGCCGCCCGGCGAGCAGCACCGCGAGATGACCATGAAGGTCAGCAGCTGCACAACGCGAAACTCTGCACACAAGTCGAGGTAGTTCTCCGATGGCGTCGCTACGGTTCCGGCGGCGAAGCCCATCAGCCCGGCCATCTCCAGCTGAGGCTCGATGGCTTCCTTCCAGGTGAGGATGCCGGGTCAGCCGACTAGCGAGCGGGTGACCAAAATCCTGTCAGGAGTAAACTTGAAGTAGCCGTAGCTCGGCGCAATCCCTCCTGCCCGCCGTCACATGGGTCGCCGACATCGGCGTCACACTGCTTCGACGTCCTCTGACATTGCCCTGCGAGGAGCCTATAGCCGCCGACGACTGTATCCCTCGCGTCTGAACACCGCCGACTTCATCGGCGTGTATCACTCCTCTCTGCCTCGACGTGCCTCCCGCACTGCTGCCAACCTGGTCACCGGCGTTGACGCCCACGTCGACGCCGCCCTCGTTGTTCACCGGTCGAGGAGAGGCAGGTCGAGAAGGGTGCTCCGTCGCCCACACAGCAAGGATGCCAGCCTCGACGACCGCCCAGGAGATGTCCCCGTACTCGCGCACCTCATGGCGTCACCTCGAATCCTCCAGCCATGCCTCCAGGGTGTCCACCACCCCCGCGTCACCTACGGCTCCTACCATAGTGACTATCGCACAGCTGCCGGCCTACGAACACGAATTAGGTAAGTGACCACAAAGTCAACTGGACTGAAAGGTAAGTCGCCTACCGTCCACGCTCACCGCACCATGCGGAAATAACTCAATCAACAGGAGCTAGACTACGGGCTAGGCACAGGGTGGGAGTGATCGTAGCGTTCGTTCACTTAGTCGTCTCCTTGTGCGCACGCTCCTTGCTAGTCGACGGGGAGAATTTGCAAGAGTTTCACTAGGAAAACATGACAACAATGATCCAGAATGATAGCAACAACATTGGCAACACTGACTACATCAGAGCTAGCACAGCTGCTGGTCGACTACCAGCACAGCACGGCCGACTGCGCACCAGTACGACTTGGTCGACCGCGCTCCAGCAGTGCAAGGATGCGGACTGCCAACGTTGCAGGTCTGCGGTGGCGCCAACGCTGCAGCAAGTCGGCTGTACAGCGTTGCACCCGCAGGACAACGGTGCACCAGCTTCGCAGGTGCGTGCAGCTGGTTGGTGCTCCACGCCTTGTCACGAACACAGTGCAGACGCCTGGCAGAGTCCACGCCAGCGACTGCGCCCACCAGCCACGTCGACCTCGAGATACCACCCCCGAGGTCACCCCCGCGACCTTCGCACACGTCGCCCGGGTATCCCGGTCGACCGGGCGACCAAGCCTGGTCGACCAGCTTAGTCGGTCGCTGGCTGCACAAGCCCGGCGTCCCCAAGCTCAGCGCCCTCCACCTAGGAGACCTGTCGTTCAACGTCCGGCTGCTCGACGTCCTGCTATTCGACATCCTCCAGCCCGGCATCCCCAAACACCCCTGTCAAGGCCGACGTCGGCCCCGGCCCCTTCATCGACCACCAGGTCAGGTCGACCACCTGGTCAACCACCCCAGAACCGGCGCCGAAAGGTTGGTGCCCGTGCAGTGGCCCCCGCGCAGGGCGACTGGGGGTACTGTTCGCTGCCCGTACGTCATTCGCACAGGTGATCGGGCTGGTCAGACATGCGGGAAGGTTGGTCACACACAGTACTGCTGCTTCTCCCGTCTTGACGACGTTTGGCGCGCAAAGTTTAACGACGAGGCTGAGCTCCCCCGCTGGCTAGAGCTGCTTAGGAATGATGTGGATATATTTGCTCTTGACTATGATGCTATCCTTACTGCCATGTATGCTTTGACTGTTAGTGCTGAGGGTGACTGTTACCTGTGTGTGCCGCCCGACCCAGGTATAGAGGCTGCTGCTCTAGGTGCTAGTGAGTCTGCTCTCTCTAGTACTGCGCCTGCTGAGGCCTTGCACACCTTCACGCTTGACTCAGGTGCTTCCCGCTGCTTCTTTCGCGACAGTACCACAGTCATACCTGTTGCAGTCTCTCTGGCTGACCCCTCAGGGGGCCCGGTTCTTGCACGTTCCTCCACTGTTCTCCCGTGTCCAGCGATTCCGTTTGGCTCACTGTCAGGTTTTCACCTCCCCTCGTTCTCTACGAACTTGGTGAGTACCGCTGCCCTCCAGGATGCGATGGTCACTACCACCACTCCTGGGGGTCAGCGTGTGTCGATCTGCACGTGTGCACGGACGGGCCGTCACCTGGCCACGTTCACCCGTCGGCCTGGGTCGAGTCTGTACACACTGACTACTGAGCCTACTCAGGTGGCTGCGTCTGGTCAGGTGTCTGCGTCAGGTCAGGTAGCAGCCCCCTGTTCGTGTCGCCTCCTCTCGCACCAGACTCTCCTCTGGCACCACCGCCTTGGTCACCCCTCCCTGCCACGCCTCCGTGGCATGCACTCCCGCCTCCTTGTCTCTAGTCTTCCCAAATCTCTACCCCCCCTCCCGCACTCACGTGCCCCGCCCTACCTTCCTTGCGTCGAGGGGCGGCAGCGCGCCGCTCCCCACTCCTCCGAGTTTCCCCCGACAGAGGCTCCTCTGCAGACTCTCCACATGGATGTGTGGGGCCCAGCCCGCGTCAGTGGACAGAACCGCGAGCGATACTTTCTGCTAGTTGTTGACGACTACTCGCGTCACACCACAGTCTTCCCCTTGCGCAGCAAGGGGGAGGTCCCTAATGTCTTGATCCCTTGGATCCGCGCTGTCCGTCTCCAGCTCCGCGAGCGGTTCCGCCAGGACCTTCCTGTCCTGCGTCTGCACTCTGACAAAGGTGGTGAGTTCTCCTCCCACCTCCTGCGGGACTTTTGTCGAGGGGAGGGCATCCTCCAGTCATTCACGCTTCCGGCCTCCCCGCAGCAGAATGGGATTGCTGAGCGCCACATTGGCTTAGTCATGGAGGTGGCTCGTACCTCCATGATCCATGCAGCTGCTCCCCATTTTCTGTGGTCGTTTGCGGTCCGGTACGCTGCACATCAGCTCAACCTCTGGCCCCGTGTCTCCTTGCCAGAGACCTTGCTGATAGTGCGTTGGACGGGGGAGGTTGGCGATGCGTCGGTGTTCCGGGTCTGGGGCTCTCGTGCCTTTGTCCGCGATACCTCCACGGACAAACTCTCCTTCCGCGCCATTCCCTGTGTCTTCCTTGGCTTTCCTACTGATGTGCCTGGCTAGCAGTTTTACCACCCCACTACGGGCTGTGTCCTGTCCTCTTAGGACGTCACGTTTGATGAGTCGGTTCTCTTTTACCGTTTCTTCCCCTACCGCACTGCCCCGCTCCCCCCCTCGCCGCTCTTCCTCGCTCCAGGTACCCCTCCGGTAAACCCCCTCCCCCCTCAGGGTCCTGCTCCTTCAGGTGTGTCTTAGGTAGACCCACTCCCCTTGGCTGAGCCTCTCGAGGTCACTTCCGACACCTCTGGCCCAGCTGAGGACGCGGCAGCTCCCCGCCGCTCACCACGCTTGGAGACCCCTCCGGGTTTTCCACCTCGACCTTCTTTGCCGCCCCTTCAGCCGGTTGCTGTACACTCTGGTGCTGCTGAGGGTGGTGTTGCTAGGGATGCTGCGTCTAGGGGTGCTGAGCCTGAGGGTGCGGAGCCTGGGGGTGCTGAGCCTGAGGGTGCGGAGCCTGGGGGTGCTGAGCCTGGGGGTGCAGAGCCTGGGGGTGCTGAGCCTGAGGGTGCGGAGCCTGGGGGTGCTGAGCTTGAGGGTGCGGATTCTTGGGGTGCTGAGGCTAGGGGTGCTAAGCCAAAGGGAACTGAGTCTGGGGGTGCTAAGCCTAGGGGTACTGCGTCGGCTGGAGGTCCTACAGGTCCCTCGCCACAGCATTCTTGCCGGCGTGAGCCTCTCTCACCACAGCAGCTGCGCGAGTGGTTTGCTCGGCGCACCCGCCTTCGGAGTGGCACTGTTGGCGCTGGAGGCCCTACTGCTAGTGGTATTGGTGCTGGAGGTGCTGGTGCTGGAGGCGCTGGAGCTGGAGGTTCTAGAGCTGCTGGAGGCGCTAAAGCTGGTGGTCCTCGTGCTGGAGGTGTTGGTGCTGGAGGAGCTGGAGCTGGTGGTACTGGTGCTGGAGGTGCTGGTGCTGGAGGCGCTGGAGCTGGTGGTACTCGTGCTGGAGGTGCTGGTGCTGGAGGTACTGGTGCTGGAGGCGCTGGAGCTGGAGGTACCTGTGCTGGAGACGTTGGAGCTGTAGGTACTGGTGCTGGAGGCACTTGAGGTGCTGGTGCTGGTGGTACTGGACAGCGGCGACTGTTCTTCGCTCCGCCGTCACCGTCGTCTCTGCCACCGCCTGACTCGGTGCTTCGCCAGGTTCTTAGCCTCCCGCCTTTTACTGGCCTTACTCCTCCCTTGCTGTGTCCACCGCTTGACCAGTCGCAGCCACAGTTATAGCCATTCTCCCCACTGCGTGCTCCTTCTCCTTACATTGAGCAGACGAACTCTCTTACAGAGCCTCGTGAGCTTGCGTCTCGTCCTGCCTCGTCCTGTCTATCAGCCCTACCCATTTTTCATGATGCCTGATCACAACCTACCACCAACTCACTGTGGCAATCAAAACAGCATTGAGCTCAACCTGCACTTCTGTGCACTTACCCCATGTAGCCAAAAAGCCAAAAGCTTCAATGGGAGGACTATTTGGCTCGTTGTAGGCCGAGTGAAGGACGCCGTGACTGCATCCACAAAGACATCACTGCTGAACGGCAATTTTCCATCCTCCTTATGCCATGAGGTCATGGAGAACGTTGCCGTGCCTGCCATAGGTGTGTCAACCAGAAAACAGGATGAGGGGTGCATAGGGCGGGGATGAAACGTGTGTACAAGCTGGTCGAACACGTGAAGTTGGCATGAGGTCATGTGTACATGACGAATTTATGACGGAAAGTTTTCCGAAGATTGGCATAGGGCATTGGTTGGAAAATGGATTGCAATGCTTTCTGAAATGCAAACGATGTACGGTGCAGTGGGCTATTCCTTAGGATGGGCAGGTAGGGGCAGGGGGGATGGGGCAGGGGAGAGAAGGGAGGGGGACATACGCCATCATCACGTGTAAGAGCGGCAGAAAACTTCACATGGTGCCAAGGGAGGAATAAGTGTACAGGGAGTACAGAAACACACATGGACGTCATGAGCTACAAATATAACCCATAAAATCCCATACGTACTTGCGCTGAATTGTGCAAGGAAAGCCTCACGAGTAAGGCTTCCCTTCTCCTCCTGTCCTGGTGTAGGCCGGTTGTCCAGAAGATCGAAGCTTTCGTACACGCTCCGCCGGCCCTTGGTAAGCACCTGGTTCCGCCACGCTGCGACACGGGCGCATAGGGACTTTCGAAAATTCTTGTCAAGTTCGTACACCAAGGCCAGGTGTGTCCGCTGCTCATCAGTTGTCCACTCGAGGGCCGTATACACTGCATCCAGCAACTTCTCATTTGAAGGCCACATGTTGAAGTCAGCGTGGTTTGTTTGGAAGAACAAGATGTCGTTCGCCTTCTTCATGTACTCCTGGCAAGGAGAAACGGGAAGGAGTAATGGCAAGGGTCATCGATGGAAAGTTATAGCTTAAGGTTGAAAAACAGTTAGCGTGGCAGTAAGTGACAAGACATGCAGCCATAATCAAACCACTCCAACAATGTAGCAACACAAAGAACGTGGCAGGACTATTTGAATGATCAAGGGGAGAACTGCATGAAACTTACAGTGATGGAAGCGTCATCATCAGGCACGGCGTTGAATGCCTGTATTACACTGGCAGCCCAGGACCTCTGGTTTGGAGTGAGTGTCTCAAAATCCACGACTCTGCCATGACGGTACTCTCGCGCAACCTCTCTCTGAAACGCACGCTGCGACCTCGGCCACGATCTCCGTCGTTGGGGCATAACAGCAGGGGCTGCAACGCTGTCATCCCTCACATGTTGGAGCCCATGACGTTGCTCTGCCCCACCGCCATTGTTAGTAATGCGGCGCTGCAGCTGCGCTTTCAACTCCAAAATCTCCCTTGCCAACTCACGGTTGCGCGCACATTCCGCGTCGTAGAGAGATCGTGGCACCGTGTCCGTGGCTGGACGGCTCACACGAGCATCACGAGCTCTCTGGGCAGGTTGCTGTCCAGGGGCATGCGCTTGTTGTGGTGCAGCAATTGGGGTGGAAGATGGCACATGAGCAGCGGTGGGCATGTGGGTGGGTCCAACGGATGGCATAGGGGCTGGATGGTGTGATGATGAGGGCAACGGGGAAGCGGTGGAAGGTTGGAAAGCTGTGGGCAACGAGGATGAGGGTGGCTGGCCACATGATGGCCGCTGGGAAGAGCTGGGTGGGGCAGAGGAGTTGGGTGGCTGAAGATTCCGCTCTAAGCCTGTCTCTGCTTCGGTGTTGCTGTTGCGCGCAAGAGGTGCTGGAGTGTCAATAAAATCATCACTGTCCCAATCACTCTCCTCTGATTCCGAATCACAGAAAGAATCCCCTTCGGATAACGATTCATCATCAAAAGAACCAGATCCTTCTTGGCAATTCACACCCACAGTGTGATTGTCATTGACTGCCTCCACATGCATCCCAGGGATGCGAAGCAGCCCCGTAGCAGCACTGGACGAGCCTTGCATAAAGCTTGGCAAAGGCTGGAAAGGTAAGGGCTGGGATGGCAAGGTCTGAGAATGCACGGGCTGAGAAGGCAAGGTCTGAGAATGCACGGGCTGAGAAGGCAAGGCCTGAGAATGCACGGGCTGAGAAGGCAAGGCCTGAGAATGCACGGGCTGAGAAGGCAAGGCCTGAGAATGCACGGGCTGAGAAGGCAAGGTCTGAGAATGCACGGGCTGAGAAGGCAAGGCCTGAGAATGCACGGGCTGAGAAGGCAAGGCCTGAGAATGCACGGGCTGAGAAGTTTGTGGGGCCTGAGAATGCACGGGCTGAGAAGGCAAGGCCTGAGAATGCATGGGCTGAGAAGGCAAGGCCTGAGAATGCACGGGCTGAGAAGGCAAGGCCTGAGAATGCACGGGCTGAGAAGGCAAGGCCTGAGAATGCACGGGCTGAGAAGGCAAGGCCTGAGAATGCACGGGCTGAGAAGGCAAGGCCTGAGAATGCAGGGCTGAGAAGGCAAGGCCTGAGAATGCACGGGCTGAAAAGGCAAGGCCTGAGAATGCACGGGCTGAGAAGGCAAGGCCTGAGAATGCACGGGCTGAGAAGGCAAGGCCTGAGAATGCACGGGCTGAGAAGGCAAGGCCTGAGAATGCATGGGCTGAGAAGGCAAGGCCTGAGAATGCACGGGCTGAGAAGGCAAGGCCTGAGAATGCACGGGCTGAGAAGGCAAGGCCTGAGAATGCACGGGCTGAGAAGGCAAGGCCTGCGAAGGCAGCGGAGGGGAAGCTTGGGACTGGGAAATCAAGAGCTGAGAAGATAAGAGCGGGGAAGGTGAGGGCTGCGAAGGTACGGGCTGGGAAGGCAAGGCCTGCGAAGGCAGCGGATGGGAAGCTTGGGACTAGGAAATCAAGAGCTGAGAAGATAAGAGCGGAGAAGGTGAGGGCTGCGAAGGTACGGGCTGGGAAGGCAAGGCCTGCGAAGGCAGCGGATGGGAAGCTTGGGACTGGGAAATCAAGAGCTGAGAAGATAAGAGCGGGGAAGGTGAGGGCTGCGAAGGTACGGGCTGGGAAGGCAAGGCCTGCGAAGGCAGCGGATGGGAAGCTTGGGACTGGTAAATCAAGAGCTGAGAAGATAAGAGCGGGGAAGGTGAGGGCTGCGAAGGTACGGGCTGGGAAGGCAAGGCCTGCGAAGGCAGCGGATGGGAAGCTTGGGACTGGGAAATCAAGAGCTGAGAAGATAAGAGCGGGGAAGGTGAGGGCTGCGAAGGTACGGGCTGGGAAGGCAAGGCCTGCGAAGGCAGCGGATGGGAAGCTTGGGACTGGGAAATCAAGAGCTGAGAAGATAAGAGCGGGGAAGGTGAGGGCTGCGAAGGTACGGGCTGGGAAGGCAAGGCCTGCGAAGGCAGCGGATGGGAAGCTTGGGACTGGGAAATCAAGAGCTGAGAAGATAAGAGCGGGGAAGGTGAGGGCTGCGAAGGTGCGGGCTGGGAAGGCATGTGCGGGGAAGGTAAGGCTGACGGTGACGACATGGCTTCGATTCCGTTTTGAAGGACGGAATTCGGACTATGGGGTAAGGTACCGTTTGGATTGGCAGGGTCGACCGATGCTGCATTAGGATCTTCGGTGGTCAGATTGTGCGTGACATCCCCACCTTCGACATGGCCAAGATGGTCGCTCCCAGGTTCAGCGCATGCATTGACCGTCTCATTCACGAGTGCAGAGGTTTTCCGTTTTGGCGGCGGGATCGGGCGCTGGACGGGTGCAGACCGAGATAGAGTTGTCAACGAGCGGAACCTATGTTCTGTTAACATATGATACACACGCAAAAGAATATGCAAGTGATGCGGAATGAAGACATGCTTGTCACTACAACCTGAAACTCAGGGTCGATGGTATTGTGGGAAGCAAGCCAAACAGAAACAGGATGACATAAAAATTAGGCGGCGCAGCTTGATGGGATAATGCGAGGATATAACAACTGTGTTGAAGTTGCAAAGAACCGTGCGCCCGGCATAACGAACGTAGGACTAACAAAGAGAGGTTTGTACAACAACTTTATGACTTCGCAAGTGTATCTCCCGCCATGCCTACACAAACCAACAGCAATCGACCACTAGAATATGCAGTGTCAGCAGACCTGTCGTTGTAACACACGAACCTGGTGCTGTTCAATGCTCACCATCGTCGACGGGGGTGGGAGGAGAAGAGCCAATGTTAGGGTTTGACTTCCCCGACGCCTTCTTCCGCGACCCCTTCTTCCCCGATGCCTTCTTCCGCGACCCCTTATTCCCCGGCGCCTCCAAGCCCGACGCCTCCAAGCCCGACGCCTCCAAGCCCGACGCCTCCAATCCCGACGCCTCCAATCCCGACGCCTCCAATCCCGACGCCTCCTTCCCTCCATTTTTGCGCTTTTCACCACGCGTTCGTGGCGCACGAGCCGTTGGAGCGGTGTGGCTTATTGGTCTATCTGCCGCAACATAATTCCCATCAGCGAAGGCAGCGACTACGGACATGGCTACGTTGTCACTTGACTCCCTACAGGTGGCAAAGGCTCGGGAAAAGGGCGTGCAATGTGTCCTACGATGTATGTGCTCTTGAACAATGGAAGTGTCCTCGTTGGAAACACTTTGACTACGCGTAATCGATGGTTGCCTGACGATCCAAAACGGTTGCCGTGACTTGATGGTGACGCCAACACAAAATTACGAAAGCTTGAAACACACAAAAGAAAGTCGAGCAGAGAGAGATGTCTATCTACCCAGCTGAGGATGCGATGCAACGTGCAGCGAAGAATGAATAAGTTTGTACTAGGCGCACCGGAATTGGGAAAAAAACGGACGCTTCAGATTTCAAAATCGCTTTTATCAACTACTGATCGACGACACAGATTGCCAGGAAAACCACGGCGGTATGTGCGTCATCTCGTGCAAATCGCGAAACCGTTGGATAGTTATGTCAAACGTAATCTAACGGCTAAACATAAGTGGTTGGGGCTGTTTTTGGTGTTGGGAGCGCTGGACGTTTCAGATCCATCGACACTTCCTAATCCTACAACATGATTGGCTATCGAAGGTTTTCCACGTTTAGTAGAAGAGCCCAGCAGAAGGTGTCTCATCACGTGCAACCCGCGTAGCCGATGATACCATACTGCCAGCCATAATCGTACGGCCAGCCCTTAGTCGAAAATATACCGGACATATCGTGTTTCGTTATACAGTATGGCGCTCCTTATCGACAATATCAAAAACTTACGCTTTTTTTTTAACCAAACTTGTTACCTGAGATAAAACAACATACTGTAGAAACCTCACTACCCGTCACCCCGCATACATCGTAGTACTCTGCTAGGCGGAAAATTCCATACCGTGGACACCTAGTGATACTCGCATTGATCATGGTTTTTGACATCGCACTCGATAAGCGGATCGGTCATTGCGTTCTTCTACAGTGCTCACATGGCAATGATGCTGGCGATGGCGGGGTCAGAATTGTGCATGTGGTATGCGGCCACCACGCTTGCTAAGAGGTCCGGAATGGATGTGCCCGTCGTCAGCTGCGTTATGGCTACAACAAACGAGCTTACTCCTGCAAGGGGGGGTTGGACAGGGTGAGAAGCATATGCATCTAAACAATAGAGAATTATGCAATGAGACCTGCCAACGGTATCATTGTGTCAACTGCCAAGTAGTGGAATGCAACGCGTAAGAGGCAGGCTTGGTGCGTAAGATGCAAGCAATACCTCTTCGATTACTTATAGTGTGCGAGGTCCATGTACAGCACCCTATTATGGGAGATAGATGTACAACTTGGCATACCAACAAGGCTAGATACATTCTGTAACCATACGGTACATTGCACAGGCATGGCTTACAGCGGTAAGTGGCATGACATATGCTTCCACTAACCCTAAATAGCGCAACCCAAGACATGCCCAGATTCAGACTTCGAGGGATTCTTGATGCACCTGCCCACAAACAGGAATAAAGGGGATGAAATGACAAGAGGGTTCAGTGTAAGCGTGTGGGAGGACAAGGGGAAAGGAAGGTGACGACTAGAGGAAAGGGAGGAAAGGTTTTGGGGGGGGAAACAGTGGGTGGACAAGAAAAAAGGGAGAGAAGAACAATGGGGAAAGGGAGTGAAGGACAAAGGGGACAGAGAGTGATGCGCAAGGGTGAAACATAGGGAAGGACAAGGGGAGATAGAGGGACCGCCAATCATAAAGTAGGTAACGGACAAGGGTAGATGAGGAATGGGCAGGCAGGAAACGCAGGGTATGGCATAGGGGAAATGGAGGAATGTTCCATGGAGCCATGGCGTTGGGAGATGAGGAGCAGTTGGTTGGGAGATGAGGAGCAGGGGAAAGAGGGGAGAGGGGAAAGGAGGGGAGGAAAGGGTTTGGCGGGGCGAGGGGACTGACGGCTTATATGAGGTGCATACCGTGCTAGTAGGTGAGCTTGTCCATGGCTGTGAACGGCAGGGCAGCAGGCTCGGTGACAGGGTCGGCAAGAGGGTCGGTGAACGCCATCAAACCTCCCCCTCTCACCTATCCCTCTCACCTATCCCTCTCACCTCCCCCTGTCACCTCGCCCTCTCACCCTTCCCTCTCATCTCCCACTCAGCTGGCCACAGGAGCTGTCGGCTTCTTCTGGCCGCCCAGCCCCAGTGCCCTGCCCACGGTGCGCCGCCCGGGCAGGGCTGGGAGGAGGCACTGGTAGAGGCGGCAGAGGAGAGCGACTCTTGAGTCAACTCAAAAGCCACCTCGTACCAGACCATACACAAGTGCATCCATACCTCAGCACGGTGAAGGGTGCACAGTTGATTGCAAGGGAAGGATCAGCTAATCACAAGAGGCGGGTGTGGTCCATGCACTCCATTTCAAGTGTGAGATATCCACGAGTTGCTGTCAAATGCAACAATCGTTTGCAGAGCTGCACTAGCAGGGCATGTGTTTCTTGATGCAGGCATGTGCATATGAGATTGCATGCACAAACATGCAAACACTGAAGCACGGCGGATGCAAATACAGGTATGTGCCACAAAGGCTGCATATGTCCATCTAAACAAGCAACTTATGGTAGGGAGAATAATCACACAGGTTTCATGGCAAATGACATAAATGTAACCGCACTTAGAAGACGCGTCAGCGATCTCAGCTCCCGTCACTCACCTCAGCCAGCCTGGCCTCGAATGAAATTGGAGCGGAGGAGGATGCGGACAAGTTGGAACGTGATGACGACGATGGCGATGATGAGGAAGGGGTCGATGATGGCCGGTTTGCACATGGAGGAGAATGAGACCGAAACTGAGGATGTCCCATGCTATGCACTCCGCCACATCAGCTGCCATGTCAGTAGGAGACCGGAGGAGGGGAGGGGGTGAAGGGCGCAAGAGTGAGTGAGGTGAGCTGTGAATTCTCAGAGCCATTACAAGTGGCATAGTGGGGCAGAGTTTACAGGTTGGGAGGAGACCGGGAGTAGTGTGATGATTGAGGAAAAGAGGAAGCGAGGTTCAATGGCAATGGTAGAGTGTGTGTGGATGATAAGGAAGGCAAGCCTCCAGTGTTGACTACCATCACGCCATCAAACTCCTTCTTCCCCTCCCTGGACTCAGCTTGCGCCACACCAGCTGCACGCATCGCCCGGGCTGCCACTCCTCCAGCCGCCTCATAGCTGCCACCGCCGCCCCCGCACTCCCCCACTACTCCCGGCCGCCTTCTCCCCCACACTCCCCTTCCCCTGGGTCCACTGGCCCCCCTCCTCTCCCACCCCTTTCTCCAGGCCCCGACCCAGTATCACCATGCTCGGAATCCGGTTCGAATCCGATTCCTCGCCCGCTCCTCGGCCTCGGCAGCCCGAGCCAGAGCCTCGGCCATCAAAGCAGCAGCTTCGTCGAAGTGAGTTTTAGCTTCTGCCACCCGCCGTCACGCCCTCATCCTCCACTTCCTTCCTCTCCCGCCGTCACGCCCTCATCCTCCGCCGCTGACCAAGCCGAAAACTCCCCCGTTTCGCTCTTCAACTCACAGCCGCCAGCGCACTTCTACTGCCACAGCACACCCCCACCTCCCCTTCTCCCGCACCCACCTCCCCCAGTACGACCCGATTCCGACCCGCTCCCGCCTGACGCGGCGCTGCTGCGGGCATCTCTGGGTGGCGACGCGGTAACCGCATCACCGCCCAGTGCGCCCAGAGCGCCGCCCACGTAACAGCCCCTCACCGCCATCGTCGCTATGGGAAGATGGAGGACGAGAGAGCGAGAAACTTTCGCTCAGCTGCCTCATGGCAGCAATTCCGGAAAAATGGAAAACGCTTAGGACAACTGCTCGTCTCAGCCTGGGCGAGGGAAGGTACGCTATGAGTGAAGACCCCTGCGCGCGGGAAACAGACGGATGGGGGAATGAATGGTACACAAACAGTCTACATACTGATTGGACAGGAGGGGAGAAAATCGCCGCGGGTACTAACATAGCGCTGCTTGCGAGAGGCGAAATGTCGTTAATGTTCAAGCGCCCACTAAGATTCGGGGGTGACAGCGATAAATCTATGTGTGGTTGCGCTGAAACGCTTTGAATCGGCGAAGTCGAAATCAAGCTTGTACTAGCGAGTGGATTCTCAGATCAGTGTGAGCTGAGTCTCAAAAACCAGATTCAGATTCGGTTTGGGCTAGCGAGCCCATCCTCAGTTGAGTGTAACTTTTGTGCGGGAGTTTGTGAGCTTTGTTCGCCACGTCATGCTGTGCGACACTTTTCGCCGCTCGGCTTCCCAAATCCAACCCTCTCGCTTATGAATTTTCAGTGTGAACCGGGTAACATTCCACATCGGAAAACTTTAGTACTGGAGCGGGGCAGTTTGTACCGCGATACGGCTCCCCGTTCCCAGATCTGGCTGAGGTTTTACCCGCTACCAGATCTCCCGTCTTGACTCCCACAGCAAGCTTCCTTGGGTGTTCTATCACACCGTTGGTGTCACCATGGGCGATACTCTGAGCCAACTGTTGCAACTGGGGGTCGCGGCTAAGTAGCATGGGAGCACAACTAGATCCATGGAAGTATTGACTCGAGAACGGGTTTTAGATCTGGAAAACAATGAGATCTTACGGCATTTAATACGCGGATAGGGCAACAGGAGGCATATGCAGGCGACGCCGAGATAGAAATCGTTGGGTGCATTCAGTGGAGGGAATCAGCAAGATATCGCGGCGGAAGTGAGGTGCATCTGTAGGAGCGAACGACCAAAATCTGACGGCGGTAGTGAGGCGCACTGGGGGGAGGAAGGAGGCGGGATCCCGCGGGGTAACTGAGGCGCATCGGGGGGAGGAAGGAGGCGGGATCCCGCGGCAGAAGAGAGGCGCACTGGGAGGAGGAAGGAGGCGGGATCCCGCGGGGTAACTGAGGCGCACCGGGGGGAGGAAGGAGGCGGGATCCCGCGGCAGAAGATAGGCGCACTGGGGGGAGGAAGGAGGCGGGATCCCGCGGGGTAACTGAGGCGCACCGGGGGGAGGAAGGAGGCGGGATCCCGCGGCAGAAGAGCTGGCGCACTGGGGGGAGGAAGGAGGCGGGATCCCGCGGGGTAACTGAGGCGCACCGGGGGGAGGAAGGAGGCGGGATCCCGCGGCAGAAGATAGGCGCACTGGGGGGAGGAAGGAGGCGGGATCCCGCGGGGTAACTGAGGCGCATCGGGGGGAGGAAGGAGGCGGGATCCCGCGGGGTAACTGAGGCGCATCGGGGGGAGGAAGGAGGCGGGATCCCGCGGCAGAAGAGAGGCGCACTGGGGGGAGGAAGGAGGTGGGATCTCGCGGCAGAAGAGAGGCGCACTGGGGGGAGGAAGGAGGCGGGATCCCGCGGGGTAACTGAGGCGCATCGGGGGGAGGAAGGAGGCGGGATCCCGCGGGGTAACTGAGGCGCATCGGGGGGAGGAAGGAGGCGGGATTCCGCGGCAGAAGAGAGGCGCACTGGGGGGAGGAAGGAGGCGGGATCCCGCGGGGTAACTGAGGCGCATCGGGGGGAGGAAGGAGGCGGGATCCTGCGGCAGAAGAGAGGCGCACTGGGGGGAGGAAGGAGGTGGGATCCCGCGGGGTAACTGAGGCGCATCGGGGGGAGGAAGGAGGCGGGATCCCGCGGCAGAAGAGAGGCGCACTGGGAGGAGGAAGGAGGCGGGATTCCGCGGGGTAACTGAGGCGCATCGGGGGGAGGAAGGAGGCGGGATCCTGCGGCAGAAGAGAGGCGCACTGGGGGGAGGAAGGAGGCGGGATCCCGCGGGGTAACTGAGGCGCACCGGGGGGAGGAAGGAGGCGGGATCCCGCGGCAGAAGAGAGGCGCACTGGGGGGAGGAAGGAGGCCGGATCCCGCGGGGTAACTGAGGCGCATCGGGGGGAGGAAGGAGGCGGGATCCCGCGGCAGAAGAGGGGCGCACTGGGAGGAGGAAGGAGGCGGGATTCCGCGGGGTAACTGAGGCGCATCGGGGGGAGGAAGGAGGCGGGATCCTGCGGCAGAAGAGAGGCGCACTGGGGGGAGGAAGGAGGCGGGATCCCGCGGCAGAAGATAGGCGCACTGGGGGGAGGAAGGAGGCGGGATCCCGCGGGGTAACTGAGGCGCATCGGGGGGAGGAAGGAGGCGGGATCCCGCGGGGTAACTGAGGCGCACCGGGGGGAGGAAGGAGGCGGGATCCTGCGGCAGAAGAGAGGCGCACTGGGGGGAGGAAGGAGGCGGGATCCCGCGGGGTAACTGAGGCGCATCGGGGGGAGGAAGGAGGCGGGATCCTGCGGCAGAAGAGAGGCGCACTGGGAGGAGGAAGGAGGCGGGATTCCGCGGGGTAACTGAGGCGCATCGGGGGGAGGAAGGAGGCGGGATCCTGCGGCAGAAGAGAGGCGCACTGGGGGGAGGAAGGAGGCGGGATCCCGCGGGGTAATTGAGGCGCACCGGGGGGAGGAAGGTGGCGGGATCCTGCGGCAGAAGAGAGGCGCACTGGGGGGAGGAAGGAGGCGGGATCCCGCGGGGTAACTGAGGCGCATCGGGGGGAGGAAGGAGGCGGGATCCTGCGGCAGAAGAGAGGCGCACAGGGGGGAGGAAGGAGGCGGGATCCCGCGGGGTAACTGAGGCGCACCTGGGGGAGGAAGGAGGCGGGATCCCGCGGCAGAAGAGAGGCGCACTGGGAGGAGGAAGGAGGCGGGATCCCGCGGGGTAACTGAGGCGCATCGGGGGGAGGAAGGAGGCGGGATCCCGCGGCAGAAGAGAGGCGCACTGGGGGGAGGAAGGAGGCGGGATCCCGCGGGGTAACGGAGGCGCACCGGAGGTCCTTGCACAATGTACGGTCCAGGGGCAAGGCAGGGTCTGTTGGAGTGTGCTGGTGTGGAATGGTTTGTAAGAGGATGTATGTGGGAGGAAGGGGTGTATGTGGGTGGGAATAGTGCGTGAGAGGGGTGTTTGCAGCACCATCCAAGCCTTCCGTGCTGTTACTCTTCCCCTACCCAGCTTATCCCGGCCCTCCGACCCTCGTCCCCACACACTCTCTACCTCTTCTCACCCCCTGCCCTTTCCTTGCGTTTTCACATCGCCCCTTGCTGGCTCCAGTTTTTATTAACGCTCTTTCCAATATCCAACTCATTTACCCTCTTTCGTATTCTTGCCCTCCACCCACCCGTTGCCCCTCTAAACCTCCGCCGCTCCGTTGCTACACTGCCTATCCACTGCCTCTCATATGACCGTTTGCTGCCCAACCCCCTCCATTACACTTCTTGTGACAATCGTCAAGCCCTTACACACTAACATGTTTGCCACATGCATGATGTCACCTCCCCATAGCCCAATGCGTTTCTCAAACCCTTTTCCCCATGTTCCAGGCTTTTGTTTTTGCCTCTCGCTCACTATTTTGTTAGGTCCTTGCCTATCCCCGGCGCCATCCGCTCTAGCCGAATTCAAGGCGCCAATTGCAACCCACTTTAACACGGCTCGCTCCCTTTCAATCCCCACCATCGGTGGTTATTCCCTCCCCTCATCGTAACATGCAATGACATACCGATCACTCTTCAATTACCAGAATTATCCTGTTATATGTGCTTCTGCTTACCCCGTCCCCTGGACATTACCCCTCCCTGAAGTTTCACCTCCCGCTCCGATCCCAATCCTCCTTCACCCAACCCTTAACTTCCTTCGCCTCTCCCTCCCTCCCTGCCCTCCTCCCTTGCCCTTGTCCCACAGACCAACATCCACGCGCACCTGAGCTGTGCAGATATTCCCAATTAGGACCTTTGCTGTTCAATATTTGCAGGTGAGGGGAGAATCAGAGTCTGGGAAGGAAATGGGGAGCGGGAAGAGGACGGGAGAGAGGAACGGAGATAGGGGATGAGAAAGAGAGTGGAGGGAAGGGTGGGGGGTGATGTTGGGAGCTGGGGGGAAAGGGGAGAAATGGGTTGGGTGGTAAGGAAAACAGATACATGAGATGGGTGGAACTCTGATTTGCCAATATGTTTTTCAGAGCTGCACACGCCATGTGACACATTCCATCCCTCCGATCCCGCTATACGCCCTTCCCACTCCTCTGATTTTCCCACTCCCCCATAGCTCCATTGCTTTGTTCCTCCAACCATTCGCTTATTTCCCCACATCCCCTACCCCCCGTTCCTACGATACGCCCCCCCCCCCATTCCCTCATTTCCTCGCTTTCCCATTCCCCCATAGCAATATTCTTTCATCCCTCCAGCGCAGTGCGCGACTGCCGGTCGAACCTCGTTGGAAGCACCAACACCCTTGCAGGTTTTGGGGAAGTGGAGCGCGCCGTCGATCGCATTTAGGTGAGTGGTCTACGCCCTTGCCGCACAAGTGCTGCGTTGTTATTTCAGGGGCTTACATATCTCCTTAGTGGCACTTGTTTCTCCTGTACACTGTGTGCAGAACCCCGTCCGCTATGGATTTTTATGCCTGCAGGTTTTGTAGGCTGCGCTTTAGTAGTGTGAACTCTGTATCAAATCACGAAAGAACTCATGATGACGATCCTCTCCCAGAATATCGTAGGAGCCCTAGTATCCTAGTTCCAACATATTCAGGTGTAGATTGGAGTACCCTACCCAGCCCCGACGATCCAGTAGATGAGTCCATACCTGAGACTGTTGATACTGGGCTGGAGGATGGGCTGCCAGATGCAGAATTCTTCCCAGCCGTAGCTTTCTTTGCTGACGACGAAGAAGAAGAAGCAACTTTTGAGACCCGTTTTGAGGTGTTTAGGTTCATTGCGCACTGCAACCGTGGTGCTGGGCTTAGTGGACCAGATGTTGTAGAGTTTTTCCGCCTACTCAACCACCCTAAGTTTGATAGGCAAGCAATAGCTGACTGGGCTGGGAAGGCTGCGGTTGACAAATTTGCCGAGGAAGAGCTCGGGATTGAGAAGATTAAGTTCAAAACAGCTGTGATCAGGGTTACGGGATGGCCGAAGTCTTTCACCGTCAAGTTCCTTGATGGGGTTGAGGTAAGTTGACAGTTCTTCTAAACCATGTGTCTTTCGTCATAGAAAGATCACTATCATACCTTATCTAACACGCAGGCGTTGAGGCGCATGTGGGCGGATCCGAGAAACGCCCCTGGGTTCGTACATCGTGCGGCAGAGAAGTTGGATGTCAACAAAAAGAGAGTGTACGCCGAGGCACACACTGCATCATTCTGGATTGATGCTCAGGTATGCATCTTGCATGTCGATGTATGAGTTAACATGCCCATAACTTGTACGATCTGGCTCTAGCTTGGAAGTGCCCATGGTTATGTGGCATCTCAGCGACGACGTTAGGGCGCTGCCTCAATTTCATCCCTGGTTGCGTTTACATAGTGCCCTTACAACATCTACTGCTAGTGTTGTCAATGGTATGTGGCCCACTTCGCAATCACACTTCACTGTAATTGGCAATCAATGTGTTAAATATTGAATGTGTTTGGCAGGATGGGCTTGGTCCGCGGGAGTGCATCTGTCCACTCATTATCTCAAGTGATGAGACTCATTTGAGTGGTAATGAGAGGTGCAGAGCTTGGCCAGTATACTTGTCCTTTGCCAATCTACCGCTTAGCACCAGGTGGCAGGAACATGGGCATGCCCTGATTGCTCTCCTACCGTTGCCGGATCCAGAGATGGAGCCAAGTCAAAAGACGGAGCTCTTCCAGAAATGCTGCGAAGTTGTGCTCAAGTCCCTTGACGCAGCATGCAAAGAGTAAGTTGATGCTCCATTCTTGATAACTCCGATAATTTAAACAGCTAGTAACAGGATGTGAAAGTTGTGTTTCATACATCATCTTGATACATTCAACCCTTTCCATTGTAGATCCATTCCTCTACTTGATCCGGCCGGTGAGGCGTACACCGTGTGGCCCAAGATGTTCGTGTATGTGGCGGACTATCCTGAAACGTGCAAAGTCACTTGCACGTTGCAACACGCATCAGCTCGTCCATGCTCCATATGCGAGATCACCATTAAGGACCTTGACAACATGAGAGTGGGTGCTCCGGTACGCAACGTGGAGGATCAACAACGATACTCTAGAGATGAGAGCCTTGCAAAGGAGTATTCCACCCACATGACTAAGGTATGAGACTGTGTAAACAACACAGCTCGTAAGCATGGTTGACTGTTGACTTACACTTACATTTACTGCTAAGTCCACAAACCCTCTGGTATTTGTCAGTGCTTCTTGTGGCACTTCGGGCGTGAAGAGGACCGGACCAAACCCTGGGGAAACCCTTTCAACACCATCATGCCCGACATCCTACAGGTCATTCTCATTGGGATTTGGCTTTACGTGTTGGAGTGTTTACTACGCAAGAACAAGCACCACAAGACCATGAACTTGTACGTCTCAATCGGGTTCATAATATGGCTCCGGTGGTTGAAGTTCCCATTACCCAAATGACCATGCTTACGGAAATCTGATATTCTATGCTTCTCCAGGCGGCATGGGGAAGAGTACAGGAGGACCTTGTTGGCAGGTCTAAAAATCCCGCCACCTGGCCGCTATTTCAGTTTTGGAGCTAACTACTCTGCCGCAGAGCATGCCGCCATGATGAGGGTTGGTACCTAAGCATCTGCACTATGGCCAATATATCTCTGAGTTGTCGGGTTTTTTTATCTCTGGCGTTTGGTCCTACATTATATTCTTATTACCACTCGTTGACTTGACCGATGGGCCTGTGCGTCACATTGTAGGTCACGCTATTCATCATGGAGGGCTTGATTACAGACGCAGCTTTTTATGTGCTACGTTATTTCGTAGCCTGGTTCGACAAATACTTCCGTGCCAAAGAGTATACCGAGAAGGACCTTGATGATTATCTGATTGACACTGAAGAGTAAGTCTTCTAACATGGGTCTCATTTTATACATTGTTTTGCATTGCCCAGTTCCAAATGCCCAGTCTTTTCTAATCCTCAACCCTCCCATACACCCTATCCAGACTTGTGCGCCTGCTGAAAACACAATTTCCCCGAAAGGGCCGTGGGTGGAAGCTCGTCAAAATCCACCTTCTCTCTCATTTTCCCGATGCAATTCGGCGAGGTGGTGCACCTGGAGAATACAGCACCAGCCTGTATGAACATGCGCATACCACATCTTGCAAGCAACCGTTTAGAGCATCTAACTATCGGCAGTATGATGAAGCCATCCTACGCAGTGCTCGTATGCGGGAGGCACTCCGCAACATGCCGTCCGCCATTGAGGGACCGCGATCCTATGAAACTGCACTTGTGCAGGTATGCATGTTCAATTTTGGGAACGCACATGCTGAGCCGAGTAAGCAAGCAGCGGTTTTGGGGTGAATTCTGTTAGCATGCTGCTGATGGGTAAATTTTGTTTACATGCTAGCATATAGAACAATTCTGTTAGCACTCCTGCCATATGGTGAATTCTGTTAGCATGCTGCCATATGGTGAATTCTGTTAGCATGCTGCCATATGGTGAATTCTCTTAGCATGCTGCCATATGGTGAATTCTGTTAGCATGCTGCCATATGGTGAATTCTGTTAGCATGCTGCCATATGGTGAATTCCGTTAGCATGCTGCTATGGGGTGAATGTTGATGGCATGCTGCTATGGGTGAATGTTGATGGCATGCTGCTATGGGGTGAATATTGATGGCATGCTGCTATGGGGTGAATGTTGATGGCATGCTGCTATGGGGTGAATGTTGATGGCATGCTGCTATGGGGTGAATGTTGATGGCATGCTGCCATGGGGTGAATGTTGATGGTACGCTGCTATGGGGTGAATGTTGATGGCATGCTGCTATGGGGTGAATGTTGATGGCATGCTGCTATGGGGTGAATGTTGATGGCATGCTGCTATGGGGTGAATGTTGATGGCATGCTGCTATGGGGTGAATGTTGATGGCATGCTGCTATGGGGTGAATGTTGATGGCATGCTGCTATGGGGTGAATGTTGATGGCATGCTGCTATGGGTGAATGTTGATGGCATGCTGCTATGGGGTGAATGTTGATGGCATGCTGCTATGGGGTGAATGTTGATGGCATGCTGCTATGGGGTGAATGTTGATGGCATGCTGCTATGGGGTGAATGTTGATGGCATGCTGCTATGGGGTGAATGTTGATGGCATGCTGCTATGGGGTGAATGTTGATGGCATGCTGCTATGGGGTGAATGTTGATGGCATGCTGCTATGGGGTGAATGTTGATGGCATGCTGCTATGGGGTGAATGTTGATGGCATGCTGCTATGGGGTGAATGTTGATGGCATGGTGCTATGGGGTGAATGTTGATGGCATGCTGCTATGAGGTGAATGTTGATGGCATGCTGCTATGGGGTGAATGTTGATGGCATGCTGCTATGGGGTGAATGTTGATGGCATGCTGCTATGGGGTGAATGTTGATGGCATGCTGCTATGGGGTGAATGTTGATGGCATGCTGCTATGGGGTGAATGTTGATGGCATGCTGCTATGGGGTGAATGTTGATGGCATGCTGCTATGGGGTGAATGTTGATGGCATGCTGCTATGGGGTGAATGTTGATGGCATGCTGCTATGGGGTGAATGTTGATGGCATGCTGCTATGGGGTGAATGTTGATGGCATGCTGCTATGGGGTGAATGTTGATGGCATGCTGCTATGGGATGAATGTTGATGGCATGCTGCTATGGGGTGAATGTTGATGGCATGCTGCTATGGGGTGAATGTTGATGGCATGCTGCTATGGGGTGAATGTTGATGGCATGCTGCTATGGGGTGAATGTTGATGGCATGCTGCTATGGGGTGAATGTTGATGGCATGCTGCTATGGGGTGAATGTTGATGGCATGCTGCTATGGGGTGAATGTTGATGGCATGGTGCTATGGGGTGAATGTTGATGGCATGCTGCTATGGGGTGAATGTTGATGGCATGGTGCTATGGGGTGAATGTTGATGGCATGCTGCTATGAGGTGAATGTTGATGGCATGCTGCTATGGGGTGAATGTTGATGGCATGCTGCTATGGGGTGAATGTTGATGGCATGCTGCTATGGGGTGAATGTTGATGGCATGCTGCTATGGGGTGAATGTTGATGGCATGCTGCTATGGGGTGAATGTTGATGGCATGCTGCTATGGGGTGAATGTTGATGGATGCTGCTATGGGGTGAAAGTTGATGGCATGCTGCTATGGGGTGAATGTTGATGGCATGCTGCTATGGGGTGAATGTTGATGGCATGCTGCTATGGGGTGAATGTTGATGGCATGCTGCTATGGGGTGAATGTTGATGGCATGCTGCTATGGGGTGAACGTTGATGGCATGCTGCTATGGGGTGAATGTTGATGGCATGCTGCTATGGGGTGAATGTTGATGGCATGGTGCTATGGGGTGAGTTTTGTTTGCATGCTGCTATGGGGCGAATTAAGTTTGCATGCTGCTATGGGGTGAATCCAGTTGGCATGCTGCTATGGGGTGAATTAAGCTTGCATGCTGCTATGGGGTGAATTCCGTTAACATGCTGCTATGGGGTGAATGTTGTTAGCATGCTGCTATGGGGTGAATGTTGTTAGCATGCTGCTATGGGGTGAATGTTGTTAGCATGGTGCTATGGGGTGAATTTTGTTTGCGTGCTGCTATGGGGTGAATTCAGTTTGCATGCTCCTATGAGGTGAATGTTGATGGCATGCTGCTATGGGTTGAATTCAGCTTGCTTGCTGCTATTGGGTGAATTCTGTTCGCATGGTGCTATGGGGTGAATGTTGTTAACATACTGCTATGGATTGGATGTTGTGAGGATGCTGATACGGTTTGAATGTTGTTAGCATAGCATGGTGATATGGGTTGATTTTTCTTAGGATGCTGCTATGGTAGCATGGTGCTAAGGGCTTAATCCCCCCCCCTCTCTCTCTCCCCCCCCCCCTTTCTCTCTCTCTCTCTCTCTCTCTCTCTCTCTCTCTCTCTCTCTCTCTCATCTCTCTCTCTTCTCATCTCTCTCTCGACTCCATCTGGACACAACAGGCTGATAGAGTTCGCGCTCCTGTGCTGAGTGCAAGCCATAAGATCATTGAGGCTCCATTTGGTCTTCATGGCAAGCGAGGACAAGAGCTATGGCAGAGCTATGTCGCGTGCCATCCCGAAGGGATGGCGAGGTTTCAGCAAATACTGGCTGAAGCTGGTCATTCCGTTCAAGACCTGCATGTAAGCCAAAACTTCCGATTGTGTGCTGGTTGTCTACGTTACTCGTCTCTAGTTCCATCAGCCCTCTAGTTCCAAATGCTGGTCAATTTGTGCATTGCGTGTGCCGGTAAGGACAGTAGCCAATAATTGTAGCTAATTGTAGCACAATCATTCCCCTCCCCCCCCCCCCCAACAGGTACATACTGCAGTGGCGTTGCCATCTACGCCTGAGAGAGAGTGCCACTATGTACGGGCAAATCCAAGCTTCCATGGCATGCCAGCATTTTCACATGCAGCGATGCTGGGGAATGCCATTGGTACAGATGGAAAGCGGACCCGTGTACTATGGTATGTCAAGGTGCTGCTGCTGTTTCACTTTAAGGGGGGGCAATCCAGCGCAGGGGCGAATGGCTTGGCGTATGTGCAATTCTATGATTCGAATGGATGCGACGATAAAACTTGCTGCCAATCACTCGTCGATGCTCCACTCACCAAACGATACTATGTGATGGACGTTAGATCTCTCGTGCGAACGATTCATGTCGTCGCGTCGTACCATCGGCTTGGGCTTTACTATCTTAACCATTTTGTGACCAAATAATTATGCGACTACGATTTGCTGGCGCATGAACCATGGCCGATGATAATTATCTGTAGATGCGCCGATGAATTAGACATTATTCTTGAATGCTCGTTGATTTTTTATTGACGGCCCAATGTGAATGCAAAACATTAAAAAAATGATTATTTAACAAATTTTAACAGATGATGATGCAACCTATTATATATCATCAATGCATCTTGAACTGCATATATATTCTTGTTTAGTTGAACGTATTCTTTACTTAAATCATTTTCAGAACAGCATAGATAATAAATCCAATGCACAAATAGAACACTGTTCTTAACGCATTGACAGGCGAAAATCGCATCCCTGTGGGAGGTAAACAGTGTCCCGCCGTTTCCCGATCTGACGTAAATGGTCGCAGAGCAAACGCGACGTGCGCGACCATGAACGCTGCAAGGAGATTGGCGCCAAGCCTGAACCTGAGGAACCCCAAACCAGAAACGAAGCAGCGTTCCAAAAGAAGGTTTGGTTGTGACTCATATTGGAACCGCGTCTAGCACAATTGCCTGGCGAAAGTTACTTCAGTGAACTAACAAAAAAAAAAGTAACTTTTTCGAAGGCATCAAATTTGGGATGTGGGGCGGGGAGAGGGCTTGGTGGAGTCTTTGAAGGGGCTGGGAGAGGCAGTGGGGAAAGGGAAGAGGGCATGGAGAACGAAAGCGCGTGCTCTCACGGCTAGATGGCTGACGCCTTCTGCGAGGTGCACCGGGGGAGAGGGGAGAGGCAACACAGCAGCAAAGCACGGTTGGTGCTTGTTTTCTGAGACGTGCAAGCCTGTGGTGACACCTATGTGCCAGCAAACTGCATGGTGCTTGTTTCTGGAGACATCTCGATCCCCCCATTTCCCTCTCCCACATGCCCTTTCCGCCCCTCTCCATCCCCCTTGCCAGGTGTGTGATGACTGTGTGCCAGCAGACCGCAAGTTGCTGCGCAAGCTGGTTATAAGTCGTCCCCCCCTCACCTCTCTCCCCCCTCTCCTCTCCTCCCCCAGGTGTGTGAGGACCGCGTGCCAGCAGTAGCAGACCGCAAGTTGCTGCATGAGCAGTACAGGTAAGCGATGGGGGAATGGGGAGGAGGGGAAGAGGGGATCAGGGGAGACGGGGGGATAAAGGGTGCCTCGCAGGACATGCGCGAGTGGCCGCGACTACGAGCGAGTGAGGGCAGGGTACGAGGGGATAGGTACGATATCGAAGGGTTAACAGGAGTTGAGGCGTAAAGGGACATGGGGGTTGTGAGTGGCGATGGTTCGGTCAAACAGGTGAGCTCGAAGATGCAACTCGTGTGAAAGTCTCCTCTGTTCTCTGCCACGCATCTCCCACACCCCTCTCTCACACCCCTCTCCCACACCCCTCACCCACACCCCTCTCCTCCAACCCTCTAACCCACCCCTCTCCTCCAACCCTCTAACCCACCCCTCTCCTCCATCCCTCTAACCCACCCCTCTCCTCCAACCCTCTAACCCACCCCTCTCCTCCAACCCTCTAACCCACCCCTCTCCTCCAACCATCTAACCCACCCCTCTCCTCCAACCCTCTAACCCACCCCTCTCCTCCAACCCTCTAACCCACCCCTCTCCTCCAACCCTCTAACCCACCCCTCTCCTCCAACCCTCTAACCCACCCCTCTCCCTCCTCCAACCCTCTAACCCACCCCTCTCCTCCAACCCTCTACTAACCCACCCCTCTCCTCCAACCCTCTAACCCACCCCTCTCCTCCAACCCTCTAACCCACCCCTCTCCTCCAACCCTCTAACCAACCCCTCTCCTCCAACCCTTTAACCCAACCCTCTCCTCCAATCCTCTCCCCCGACCCTCTACCACCCCACCCTACCCCTGTTAAGAGGGAGAAGCCAGCCCCCGAGGAGGAGGAAAAATTCGGTGGCTAGCACACATCCCCTCTCCCCCACACCCGTCCTTTAAGCTTATCTCCCAACCGTTCCCCCACCCTTCACCCCCCGCCCCCTCTCTCGGTCTCCCCTATTCACGCTCCCCCCTCGCCCTGCCTCTGCCAGGAAGAGCCAGCCCCCGAGGAGGCTGTGGAATCCGGTGGGCAGCACAAGTTGCATGGACGCGTTTCAAAAGCCCCTCGCAACTCTCCCCCTCCATCCTGCCCTCCCTGGCAGCATTTTGTACAGCAACGAGCTGTGGGACCCTCTGCCTCCTGCCTCTGATATCTTCGCCCCCAAGTCACTCACCAGCCTGTGAGCACCACACTCACCAGCCTGTGAGCACCACACTCACCATTATGTGAGCACCACACTCGCCGGCCTGCTTCCCCTCCCCTGTCATCTTTCCTCATCTCTCCCTCCGCCCCACCCAGTAACCCCCCACGTTTCCAGAGACCTGAGCTTCATCTACTTACTGGCAACGCCTCTTGAGGCACTTCAAAAGTTGCCGCTCCATCCGCAATCCTCCCCACGTCACCAGGGACCTGAGCTCCAACTACCTCACTGGCAATGTGCCGCTGGTGCCTGCTGGCCGCAACATCAAATTCAAGTGAGCCCTGTCCCCGGGGGATTACTCTGTAGTGCAAAAGCCAAATTCAATCCAATTTAGGTCGAACCGGCCGTCAAATTGAATCGGACATGAGACCAACCAAGACATGCGTTGTCTTGGCTGTGTACTTCAGGTTTTGCCCTTTAAGCATTCTAAATTCAGAGTGCATGCACCAACAGTTCACTGTATTCCAACGAACTCTAGTGCTTCGAGATACTTCAAACCAGAGGAATTAGCAACACAGTCACAGAGGTAAGGGGCCAGGGTCCCAAGCTGGTTGGTCTGGCAAAGCACGCCCCCTCCTTTCCATCCCCCTCCCCCCCTCTCTCGCTCATTCTCCCCTTCTCCTTGCGATTACTAATGCTTTTACCCTCGGCCCATTCCCCGACTCAGGTTCTTCACCAACTGTTTTCACGCAGCTGCGGTAGCAGCGGTTGCAGACCCGTTGCCAGGGGATCCGAACCCGCGGTCCAACGCAGGCTGCACTCGATTCTACTCCAACCTTGACCAAGGTGTGCCGCTTCAAATCTGCTCTCAACACCTTTGCTGCTTCTGTCTCGTACTCATCCTTGCCCTGCCCTGACATGCCCTGCACTGCCCTGCTCTGCCCTGCCCTGCTTAGATCGCCGTTGTCACCTCGGCCCAGAGAATTACTTACATTGCCAGTAACCCCTCTCTCTCGCCGGCACACTCACCTTCCGTTGCGTCACCGTCCATATTCTGCGCTCTCGTGCCCTACCCTGTTTCATGCGTCCTTCACTCCTCTGTGCTTCCTCCGCCCGCCTCGCAGGATGACCACCAACACCTGCCCTCCCCTCCACTTCTCCCGCTGGTCCTCCCACATCCAACACCACTGCTGCCAGCCCCTCTCCCCGCGTATCCCCAAACCCTCCCCCCTCACCAACCCCCTCACATTCTTCCTCCTCCCCCACATCTCTCACCAAGCCTAGCAGCAGCCTTCGCCCCAGGGCTGACGTTTCATTCTAAGCCTCCCTGATTCCGGGGAAAAATTCCCACCTGTATTATAAGTGCATATTTTCCACAGGTAGGCTACTCTGATTGCTCAGTGTTGAAAAGTAGTTAACTCTGATTGCTCAGGGTCGAGAATTTAACATCAATGTAGTAACGCGCACTGTGTTTAACGGGGACAAAAGTTTCACTCCGCATGATCCCAACACAGCGCGACATCATTTCGTGCACACCTTGTGCGCTTTACTTTCTTACCCTTTACTTTTGAGGGAAAATGGTATTTCTCCACACGTTTTAGCGTGGGGAAGAAATGAGCAATTTCGGTCCACCAAACAGCGATTACCATAGATGTGCCAAGATTTCCTATTCGCTGATTACCCGCGATTCGCCAACGTCATTGTGCGAAACACAAAAAATGTGTTGGTAACTTCACGCATACGCAATTGCGACAATACAACCGACATTTACAAATTCTGTGAAACTAACATACGTAGAGTGTATTCACCTGTCAGACATGTTGCCGCGCGCTGCTCACGCTCTGGCTGTACTTCGACCAATCCGAAGGCGGGGTTATCGGAAGGAAAGTTCCAAGAAACTATCTTCCGATCAGGTCAAATGCAGAGTCCACAGAACGCATACTCTACATTGACAGAGTCGGTAAAACCACTACTCTGAGTCTAGATACAATATTTCAGGGTTCGCTAAAGCACTAGTCTAAATGGATCAGTGTTCACAAGTCAGAAATTCTGAAATTGCAGGGACCACCAGGTGAGAAGCCTGTAATCACCCTGAAATCAGGGTAATTACCCTGATAAAATCAGCCCTGCTTCGCCCCCCTGCCCTGCCCTCTATGGCTGCCTGCCTGCTGGCGCTGCTGGCTGCTGCCATGGTGTGAAAAGGGAGGAGGGTAGGGAGGAAGAGTAGGGTAGGGGGGGCGGTGTGGTGGAGGTGACCCAGGTGGTATCTCGTTTTCCGCGGTATCATGATTCAAATTGTTGCACACCCCTGTTTGTAACTCTATTGATCTGTTTTCATCTTTTTTTTCTGTCGCGTGTTGACGCGCGGCGTTAACTTTTCATGGCTGACGACTCATGGCATTTCCAGGTGGCACCCCTGTGGCCATAATGTCTCTTCGTAGGGAAGCGACCCTAAAAAATTGTCAGGAAAAAACCATTGAAGGGGGGACTTTAAAAACTCTATGTGCGCACCAGGCTGTTGATTCGATTGCCTTATTACCAACGGCATGCTGGGAGAGATCACAACCTGAGGCAGTAATTTGAAGGCAACCTAAGGTTGTTCCACATGTGAGTCTCTATTATAATGTGTTGATTATAAGCGTTCCTTTTCAGTCAATACCATATCCAACTGAGCGTCTTCAAACGTGGAAACACGATCTCAAGGTTGGACGGACATAAACACAGAAATTGACGACGTCAGATTTCACACTTGTCTGCGCAATCACACCTCATCATCAGGCATTCGTGTTTTAGCCATGTGTAAGGAATTTTC